GGAGTTGGTTCTCTTTTCTGCAAACCAAGATTTCAAGTCACAATTTAATCTTGGGTTGCCATGAAAGCAGTGAGTTTTCAATTTGTGTATAAGGGGAACAGGGAGGAAGCCTGATGCAACATACAAATCTAGGATCCCCCAAACTAACTTGTTATTACATCTGATACTAAACTAATGCTTGAAAATAATGCTGCTGTTGTTTAATTCTCTTCAGCTAGAAGATGAAATCTCAACTTTACGACAAGTGTTAGTAGCCAAAGAGAAGCATCTTGTGGAAATAAAACAAAAACTTGGTATCAACTTGATGAATGAACTGAAACAGAACTTTAGCAAAAGCTGGCATGATGTGCAAACCACCACTGCGTGAGTACAAACTACCCACACAATCGTTCTTTACTTTTGTGTAGCACTAAGTGTTTCTTTCACAAATCTTTAGAAATTTAGTGGGGTTCAGTGGTTTGACTGCTAAACACATATAACAAAAAACATAAAGTGAGTTTTAATTGATTTATATTCACATGTGAATTATCTCAGAATGAGTGAGTTATATTAAAATCAAAAGATAAGGAACTACTAACAGCCATCAGTGAGCTTCATGGTTCAACAGCTCTCGGAATCAATTCTCCCATTACTACTGGCTACTAGTATGGTATGGCCGAGATTGGGGGGGCAAGGCGGGCGACAGAAGGCCGATGCCTCCGTCGCCCGGCCCTCTACAGAATCCACCCCCCAAACCTCCAGGTATTTCCCTCCTTAGAGCTGGCAACCCTACATTCCCCTCAGTGCCTGTTGGTAGGCAACTAAGCTTGGTCCTGTCACCTACTTTGGCCTTTGGGAGAAAACACATTGGGGCCAATCCTGATAGGGTTGCCAACTCCAGATGGGAAATTCCTGGAGACTTGAGGGATGGAGCCTGAAGAGGGTGAGGTTTGAGGAGGGGTGGGACCTCAGACAGGTACACTGCCATAGACTCCACCCTCCAAACCAGTCAGTCTCACATAGGGAACCATTGTTGCCAATCTCCAGGTGAGGGCTGGAGAGCACTCAGTATTACAACTGCTCTGCAGAAGGGAGGGCAGAAGTCAGCTGAAGTCAAAGGGGCAGATAATGGTAGGTTGGTGGCTAGCTGGGAAGGAGATGCGGTTGCCAACTACATGCTGACAAATTCCTGGGGATTTGAGGGGTGGAGCCTGGAGAGGGTGGGGTTTGCAGAGGGGTGGGACCTCAGACAGGTAGAATGCCATAGACTCCACCCTCCAAACCAGCCATTTTGTCCTGGGTAACAATTGTTGCCAATCTCCAGGTGAGGGCTACAGATTACTCACAATTACAACTGCTCTTCAGGTAGCAGAGATCAGTTCCTCTGGAGAATACAGTGGACTCTGTCATTATACCCTGCTGAGGTCACCACAGCAAATTGAAACTGTTTGCCCAAAGCCAGAGCTCTGCCCCAGAGCCTCTTTCTAGATCCCGTTGTATTGCTTTCACAATGGGCTTTACTGCTAGTAAATACATAAATAAAATAAGGAAATAGATTCAGGACATATCTCACCGCTACGATGTATCACAGTGAACTTATGGCATCCATTGCCACAAAGAGTTGCTGATGGCCACTGGTTATAAAGGGGGACTAGATAAATTCAGTGGTTGTGAACCACAGCAGCTTTTAAGAAGCGTCTCCCCCTCCCACACGCACACACTGAGACTATGTTGGACTTGGTGGAGCCCCGGTCTGATCCAGCAGGGTTCTTGTATTCTTAACATAAGCTGACAACCCCTGTCCAGAAGACTCTCCCAAGTAGAGTCTTGAGGGCCCTTAAACACCATGGGCTCATTGTGGTTTTGCCTCCAGTCTGCTAAATTGAGGAGGCAACAATTTGGTGTATGAAATTTGGTGTATGAAAGTTTATTGGGCCAAAATATATAGTGTCCCCAATTTAGCGGAGTGTGGGTGGTGGAAGAAAGTAATAGCACTTTATTTCTCCGCGGTACCCTTCCCTACCCAACATATCTGACCGGGTGGGAACCCGGTGGTTTATCTGCATGGCACTGAAGGAACTTGCCTGGCTGTGTCACTTGAACCTCTGGCGCATGAACCTTGAACACATGAACATACGAAGCTGCCTTATGCTGAGTCAGACCATTGGACCATCCAGGTCAGTATTGTTTACTCGGACTGGCAACAGCTCTCTAGGGTCTCAGGTAGAGGTCTTTCACATTACCTGCTACCTGATCTTTGTTCACTGGAGATTCCAGGGATTAAACCTGCTACTTTCTGCGTGCCTAGCCAATGCTCTCCCGCTGAGCCTGGCCCCTCCCCTTGCTCCCTCTCCCACGGAATAGCATCTGTTGCTGTGCCCTGCATGGCACCCAGACCACCAGTTGACCAGTCATGATGCATTCAGATCGATTCTCAGTTAAAATGTATTTATTTAATTAATTGATTGATTGATTTGATTTGATTTGTATCCTGCCCTTCCTGCCAAAGCAGGCTCAGGGTGGCTCCCATTAAAAGTTAAAATACAATCAAACACAAATTCATTACATACAAGACCTCATAAAATGCATGTACATTACAGATACAATTCGCATGTAGATACAGTTAAAGTGCTATTGGTGGTAACTATTGGCCATGATGTTGCAGATATAGCAGAAAGTATGGTTAAAAGGTGTTACTGTAGACATCGCAGGCAAATACTCTTGTTATGAAGGGCCTTATCCCAGTTCAATGTTGTTAGTAGCGGCTCCTAATTGAAGGCCTGGTGGAAGAGCTCCATTTTGCAGGCCTTGCAGAACTGTAAAAGGTCCTGCAGGGCCCTGATGTCTTCTGGGAGCTCATTCTACCAATATGGAACCACTACTGAGCAGGCCCTGGCCCTAGTAGAGGCCAATGTGGCGTCTTTCGGTCCAGGGAGAGTCAGGCGGTTTTGGGACCCTGACCTCAGTGCTCTCTGGGGAACATGCGGGGAAAGGTGGTCCCTCAAGTAGACAGGCCCCAACCCATATAGGGCTTTAAACAATCTATGGTCAGCCCTGACGATGCAATTGGACACAGATTTACATTGTTTTGTCTATGGTTTTATTGGGTGCTGGTTTACGTCTATTAATTTTAATGTCAGTTTTATATTTTGTTGTGTACCCAGAGAAACCGTGCACATGGTCAGGTCCGCACGTGGCCATGCAAAGGGCCCAAGCTTCACTTCCAGAGACAATAGCCCAAACATATCCTAGTGCGCACCTATCAGATGGCTAGGATCCGAGAATTGACCTATGGGACTTGGGTACACTGTAAATAATCCTATCATGGATGTGTATTTGGGTGTGGTTTGCTACGGGGATATAAGCCAGCCGCTGGTCCAGCTACTTCATCTCAAGTTCTCCTATGCCTGAATAAAGTATGAGCTGAAATCACTACGCTATGCCTCAGTCTCAGTACTTTATATATATTTTTGATCATATGACACCTCTTGCTTTTTTGTGGACAGCTGCTATTTAAATGTTTGAAATAAATATATCAGATCAGGCTTCACTAGGAAGAGATTTGAGTTACAACTAGGTATGGAGAAAAATGCCCCTTTAATGGAGGGTGAAGAAAGCAGGTAGGAAGAAAGCTGGTTTGTTTAAAACGTGGTGTTGGAGGAGAGTTTTATGGATTCTGTGGACCACCAGAAAGATAAATAAGTGGGTCCTAGATCAAATCAAGCCCGAACTCTCCCTAGAAGCTAAAATGATTAAACTGAGGCTATTGTACTTTGGTCACATTATGAGAAGGCAGGAGTCAGTGATATTGGAAATGGCAACCATGCTAGGAAAAGTTGAAGGCAGCAGGAAAAGAGGAAGACCCAACATGAGATGGATGGACCCAATCACGGAAGCCATGGCCCCCAGTTTGGAAGACAGGGTCGCCAGGTCTGCTCTGGCCAACCGAGGGGGATGGGGGACCAGCTGCAGGTCAGGAAACACTTGGAGATTTGGAGATGGAGTTTTGGGAAGAGAGGGACCTCAGCTGGGTGCAATGCCATAGAGTCCATCCTCCAAAGCATCCATTTTCTCCAGGGGAACAGATCTCTGTAGTCTGGAGATGAGCTGTAATTCTGGGGGATCCCCAGGTCCCCCCTGGAGGCTGGCATCCTTATTGCAAGACCTGAGCAAGACTGTTAATGACGGGATGTTTTGGAGGAATTAATAGGGGCACCATAAGTTGGGAGCAACTTGATAGCACTTAACATGTAGGCAGGCAAAATGGAGGCTTGATGGGAGGTTGTTTCCCAGGGGACGTTATCTGCCTCCATGCCATGTAATGATTCAACTGCCGACTTCCAAACATGAACTTCTATTAAAGGAGCAGGACATGTTTTCCCAGCCCTGTTGGTGACCCAGGTTACAAAAGAAAGATGACATAAAAATATTTTAAATAAATGCACTGATTTATTATTATTTTTTTAGGGAGGACCATCACACTAAACTCTGTCCCTGTCATGTCAGCCTGTTGCTTCTTTATCTATGAAACAGGGCAAAGAGAGGCCAGTGGATCTTCTTTCTTCTCCAGATGCTCCACACTTGGGTCATTTCCAGCAAAGTGCACATCTGCCAAGCTGGACAACTGCTTATCCAGTAGACCCCTTGGCTAAAAGTTGCACGTTGCCGCTTGTGAGCCAATGCGGGGCCCTGTTGGTGACAGTAAAGAGAACAACGTGTTCCCTCTCAGCTTTCTGCACGTGTGTCCAGATCTATTTTTCTCCCTCTCTCTCTTTCGGTCAGTCATTAGCATTCCACAGAAGTTAAGTAAATTGGAAACACACATTGCCACAACGCCGGAAAGGAAGCAGCCCTTCCAACAATTTGTGTGCACTGAGAATCCAACATCCATCCAGCATGCAAGTAGATGGACCCATTGACTCAGGCAGATTGACTGGGATTGATTCGATGACTGGCATGAAGGAAAGCCCAGAGAAGCTTTAGGGCAGGAGGGCTGCTGAACTGGATCAAATTGCACTTGATTGCACGCAGCGGGCTCTGGAGAAAGGCACATCTTGCGCTTCTGCTGGAGGCTGGGTTGGATTCTGCAGAGAGATCTTTGCCATGGTGAGTTGGAAGCTTGGTTCACACTGTGATTTCTGTTAGCACAAAAGAGTCCCAAGACACCTTAATGACTAACGTGTTTTTGTTAGTCTTTTAAGACGTCACAGGACTCTTCTTTTGCTTTTTGCTGCAATGGACAAACATGGCTATTCCTACTGACACCTAGGAAATGTTAAAATAGGTGAAACTGAATGAGGAATGTGGATTGTCTGCTAAATGATGGTCTGGAATGGCATAAACTAGTGGTTTTCCATACATATTCTGGGAAAAGGGAAGGTTTCTAAGTGTGCCCCTTGAAATATACCCAGTCTAACCTTCCTCTTTAGGTGGGGCTACTGCATTTCGGGGGGGGGGGGTCCAGACTCTCCCCAGCCCATTGGCATCCGATTGTGGGGTAGGGTTGCCAACAGGCCTGGAGAAAAATGTCTTGTTCCTTTAATAGAAATTTAACATGTGGAAATAGGCCTTTGGAACTTTCCATGGCATGGAGGTAAATAACATTACCTGGTAAATAACTTCCCATTCATTCTCTGTTAAAGGGACGGGACTTTTTCTCCAGGGCTGTTGGTGACACCACACATTTTGAAGGGAAGCAATGAGCGAGGAGGGCTTATCTCCCAGTCCAAAGATATTGCTTGCCTCTGCATTAAGTGATCCCTTACTCTTTTAAGCACTTTGCTGTGCAGTCATACTAACTAAAGAAGGATGTTGGTTTCTTAACTAGATTTTCTTTTTGCCTGAAAAACAGGCTCTGGTACTTTGAATAGCAACTGCTATGTCATGAATCTTTCCCATAGAAAAAGGTCAGGCAGAACAATGTACCTCTTGTCTCTACTGTGGCTTTGGCCTCTAAGTTTCCCTAGAATTCTCTGCAGCTTTCCTGGGTTTTGGTCATAAGTGATGCTCAGAGGTTTCTTGGCCATCCTACTGTGGAATGCTTTGCCTTAAGGTAAAAAGATAGAAAACAGCTGGAATAAACAACAACAAAAAAGATAATCAACAACAAAAACCACACACTAATCTTTAATTTTGGATTAATTAATTCCAAATAACTGCAATTTATTAGTTGCCAGGACAGCTCAAAATATCTGCAGTGGTCCAACACAACATCAACTATCTGGGCTGCTTTGCCCCGGCTGGTTGTGTGGTCACAGCCATGTAGGGGGTTCATTAATTCATACTTTCATTGAAACTGGGGGACGGGTATCACACTGTGCTAAATGTTTGGGGTCGATCCATGTGATAGAGAGGGCCAATATTTCAGTACAAGCCGAAGAGGCTCATCCTTCTAACATCCTGAGTCAAATCTAGGTACCAGATTGTCATTACTGACTACCTTGAGTGGTAATGGCTCTCTAGCAGTAAAGGTTCTTTGCCAGTACCTGTGATCTTCTAACTGAAGATATACATGAAGCTGCATTATACTGAGTCAGACCATCTGCCTAGCAATGTTGTCTGCTCTGCTTTGGCCAGCAGCAGTTCTCAAGGTTTTTCGTATCTATTACCGGATCTTTTAAAATCGAGGATGCTGGGATTGAATCTGGGACCTTCTGCATGGAAAGCAGATGCTGTACCACCAAACCTCAGCCCATGATTCTATGCTACACTGTTTGCTCACCACCCTTAATCCATTCAGCATCTCAAACTTCAGTGAAAAAACATGGGGAAAACATGTGTCTTGCATATCCAGCTTTTGAAATGTGCATGGTAGCTTCAGAAACTGAGTAAGTAGTTAAAAAAAAAGAAAAGAAACTGAGTAAGTGTATTGTTGCTCTAATAAACAGGAGGAATTGAGCTATCCCCCAAAGCTGTGGTCAAGTACTATGGTATTCCCCATTACTATGTATGGACATGAAAGTTGGACCATGAAGAAAGCTGACAGAAAGAAAACTGATTAATTTAAGATGTGGTGTTTGGAGGAGAGTTATATGGGTACCATGGACTGTTAAAAAGACAAATCAGAGGGTTCTAGATCAAATCAAGTCTGAATCCTTCCTAGAAGCCAAAATGACTACACTGAGGCTATTGTACTTTGGTCACATCACGACAAGACAAGACTTGCTTGAAAAATCAATAGTGCTAGAAAAAGTAGGAGACAGCAGGAAAAGAGGAAGACCCAACATGATATGGATGGACTCAATAAAGGAAGCCCCGACCATCAGTTTGCAAAACCTGAGCAAGACTGTTAGTGATAGGACATGAAGTGATAGGACATTACGGAGGATATTAATTCATAGGGTCACTGTAAGATGACAGTAACTTGATGGCACATCACACACACACACACACACAAACACACACACAGAGAGAGAGAGAGAGAGAGAGAGAGAGAGAGAGAGAGAGAGAGAGAGATCTGAAATAGCCAGTAAGGAGGTAAATCTGTACAAGGCTTTATCATCCAAAGGAAGGCCCACATGCTACTTCTGATTCTGTGGTGATTTCCCCCACCCTTAAAAAATGAATGCAGCCATAGACTCTGCATTTTATAAGGGTAACCCATTGGGGGGGGGGCAGAAAGAAATGCTCTTTCATCTCTTGCCCCAGCACCTTTCTCCCTGAGCCAGTTTGGTGTAGTGGTTAAGTGCGTGGACTCTAATCTGGGAGAACTCGGTTTGATTCCCCATTTCTCCACTCGCAGCTGCTGGATGACCTTGGGCAAGCCGTAGTTCTGTCAGAGGTGTTCTTGAAAAGAGCAGTTTCTGTGAGAGCTCTCTCAGCCCCACCTACCTCACAGGGTGTCTGTTGTGGGGAGGGGAAGGGAAAGGAGTTTGTAAGCCACTCTGAGACTCCAAGCGAAGGGCGGGGTATAAATCCAATCTCTTCTTCTTCTTCTCCTCCTCCTCCTCTCCCTCCTCCTTCTTCAAAATGACCACCCCAACAAATTGTTTTTACCTCAGCTTAAGGGAGACAGATATAGATACTGTATAAATTCCCCCAACAGGGAGAAAAGTAGCTCACTGGGGATGGGGATTCTCAGCAGGGAAAAGACATTATGGCTGTGGTCACTCACACTAAATAATCCACTCCCAATCCGCTTTCAGTGCCCTTTCCAACTTCCACACTGTCACTTTTGTCACTCATTTCCCCCTATTGCTTTGGGTGTCGTCCCCCCCCCCCGTTCCACATGCGTTTTGCTCCCTCTGGAACTACTAGAGAGAGCAAAACACATTGCGGGGGGGGGGGAAACCCCTGAAGCAATAGGGACAAGTGAAGTGGGGTCCCAGAGCAGCTTACATTGTTCTCCTCTGTTTTATCCTCACAACCACCCTGTGAGGTAGGTCAGGCTGAGAATATGTGACTGGCCCAAGGTCATCCAGAAAGCTTCTATGGCAGAGTGGGGATTTGAACTTAAGTCTCCTAGATCCTAGTCTGACAGGCTAGTTTTCTGTGCAAAGAGAGTGTTTTTCTTCCTCCTTATATTCAGGGGTATTCATTTATGTGAGCCCCCACTGCATCTGCTGCTTGGGAGATAACGAGGCCAGTGTGGTATAGCCAGGGGTCATTTTGTAGAAAAAGAGGTGCAGGAGCTCATTAGCATAATTTTGTATATGCCACACCCCCTGACATCACTGGAAGTGTGTCAGAAGGCAACACCCACTGCTCAGGCTCCACTGGACTGTTTTGGATTGCTAGCTATTGGGGGAACATGCAGATCTGTCCTCGCAGAGGAGGGAGAATTTGTACCTGAATAAAACTTGGTCTTAAAGGTGCCACTGGACTGTTTTGGACAGAGGGGGGTGGGGTGGGGAGCTCTGCAACTTACCTGGCTGCTTCTTACTCTGACTGAGGGCTGCTGGGAGCAGGGGGTGGGGCTTGTTGCGTGTGCCCGCCCCCTGGGCTCTTTAATGCCGGAGCTCCGCTCCTGTGCGCTCCTGCAGGAAATGACCCCTGGGTATAGCAGTTAAGAGCAGCCGGGTCTGGTTCCCAACTCCTCCACACGAAGCCAGCTGAGCAACCTGGGGCCAGTCACAGTTCTCTCAGAACACTCTCAGCCCCACCTACCTTTACCTTACAAGGAGCCTGTGGTGGGGAAGAGGACGGGAATGCGACTGTAAACCATTTTGAGACTCCTGAAGGTAGAGGAAAGTGGGACATAAAAACCTACTCCTATTATTTCCTGTTTGTTCTTTTTCTTCTTCTTCTTCTTAGTTTCAGACAGTGCCACTGTCTGGTAGAGGATGAGGGAGATGTTAGGGTGCCAACAATGCAAGAGACGTCCATGGCAACATGATAGTGTGTGGATAATAACTCTGTAATTCTTAAAAAATGCTGGCCAGTGATATTGTGCCTATTTTAGCTGAAAAATGTCCCATGTCAGAGCCAGCTTTGAGCACAGGATACCGCTGTCTGCGGTCAGGTCTGTATTGACCATTTATAAGTTTGTTTTCAAAAGGGCTTATTGTCTGGTATCATATGGTCAACCTTACAAAACACAGAATTTCTAAAGCATGTTATGAAACAGTGAGGTGTGGACTGCTGTGTGGTGTAGGAAGCAAAGAAACAGGCAAGAGACTTGCTTGCCTCGCTGTTGGATATAAATGAAACCCTAGATGTTTAAAAAGAGCATGTCTGAAACATCCCTGGGACCCGAGGGAGGTAAAAATAACTTAAAAAAAAATCCAGTTGTATGCCCAAAAGATGTCCTGCTGTCCTCAACTAGAGCCAGGGCCTTTTCAGCCTCGGCTCCGGCCTGGTGGGACTCTTTGCCTGGTGACATCGGCATCCTGTGGGACCTAGCTCAGTTCCGCAGGGCGTGTGAAACAGAGATGTTCTGCCAGGCCTACGGTTGAGGACAGCAATGGCTTACATTATGGCTCTTGCTACGGCCTCCTCCATGACCGGTCCCTGATCCACACGGGAGAGGGAGCAAACTTCACTGTAAGCCATTAATTAACGTTATTGATTTTACTGGTAATTTGTAATTAATGTATTGTATAGTTTAACCTGCTGGGGAAGGGCAGTCTATAAATTTAATAAATAATAAAAAATAAAATAATATATAA